GCAGGGTAGGAGTAGGAGTAGGAGTAGGAGCAGGAGCAGGAGCAGGAGCAGGAGCAGGAGTAGGAGTAGTAGTAGTAGTAGTAGTAGTAGTAGTAGTAGTAGTATTAACACCAGTACTAGTACTAGTGCTATTTCTTGTACTGGTACTAGTACTAGTACTAGTACTTGTAACTGGTAAGTAGTAAAAGGACGAGTACTAGTACGGGCAGTAGCAGCAGCAGCAGCTGCAGCAGCAGCAGCAGCAGCAGGAGGAGGAGGAGGAGGAGGAGTAGTAGTAGTAGTAGTAGCAGTAGTAGTGCTAGTAGCGGTCGTAGTGGTCATAGTGGTAGTGGTGGTAGTAGCAGTGGCAGTAGCAGCAGTACCCGTACCCGTGCCCGGTACCTACTGGTACTAGTATGACTGCTGCTACGCCTGGTGCTGCCACTACTGCTGCTGCTACTATTACTATTGTTGCTACGAGTACTATAATACTACTACTACTACTACTACTACTACTACTACTACTGCCACGACGACGACGACGATCAAACGCCAGATCCTAAGGGGGATTCGAGTCGAGTCTAAGAGATCTGAGCAACTGCCATCCACCATCTAGCGAACCGAATGCCGTTTGCAAACCGCCATGTGCCTGCACGATTGGAAGCGATGAGCTTGATCGAGGGCGATAAGTTTGTGAATGCGGAGGGAGCAATGTTCTTGCAGCGTGCCGCTCCGCCAGAATTCGACTGTGCTTTAGATGCTTCGGGTCAGATCATGGAGATTCGTGCATTGCCTGGTGCCATCTTGGCCCAAGTCACAGACCAACCTCCGCAGGCAACGGCACGAAGCTCACAGAAGCTCCGAGATCAGAGAGACTGCATTGCAGCTGAGGCCTAAGGCGACCTGAGGGGCCATTGAGAGGCCGCCGAGGAAGAATGGATGTCGATCCAAGTCCTGCGCTGGAGGCACAACGGAAGGCAGGGTCCGGGGGCGGACGGAGGTGCAAGTCAGTCAAGCCGCGCGAAACATCTGGCTGCTGGCCGGACAGTCTGGAGCCAACCCGTGACATGAGTGCTTTATGCGGCTTTGCCAGGCTCACCCAGAGCTCTCCGAGCAGCTGGACAAAATGCAGAAATTCGTAAACAGCAAGCTGCAACTTGGAGAGAACAAGTGTACCATAGATTCCGGTGGTTCATTGGTGCCACGTGTTGTGCAAGTTATTGCCCTCACTTCCTGTTGATGTGGACAATGGGAATTGGGGATTCGCCTGCGAAGATCTGTGAAGCTGTTGAGTATGCCTTGCATGAAGGTATCACCAACTCACCCAGACTCTCCTGGAGTGCCCCGCCGTGTTGAGGCGCAGCCCGCTGAGTCTGAGAGCGCCTTGTCCAGGTACCTTGTAAGTCCTCCGTTCGCTGCTGCCACGCCGGCGGTAGCGGCAGAGCTGAAGGACTTTTTTGAGGGCCGGGGACCATGTTGGTCTGACTTACCGGCACTGTGCCGCCACGAGCATGCGGTGGGTGAGCTGTCTGAACTAGTAGTCATAACCAGCCTTGAGCCTGATTTCGTGCCAAGGCTTCATAAAGGCTTTTGAGGTGAGATTCGACAAAGTGCGATGGGCGATGACCTCAGCATGTGCCAGTAATGCGGCCAAGTGTTGAAGCGTCTGTTCAAGGAGTGTCTGTCGGCTAGACGAAGCCGAAGCCTGTTCTGCCGGAAGGTTCAGATTCTCTCAATCGTGGCAAAGCCACAGACGCCGGCGGTGGCATTGGAGCTGATCGCGCCTTTCGAGGCTGCAAGAAGGGAGAGGGACGGAGGGAAACGAGAGGGCCAACCGAGACGAGACAGGGTGACATGGGAACCTCTCCGCATCTCGCCGCTGAGCAAGTTCATTTCCCAATTCCTAGCCCCTGCAAGAGTCCAAGTCTATCACAGAGCCGGAGTGTGCGAGAGGCCACCATGGCCGAGAATCGCGATGCCAAGTTCCTTTGTCAGGCTCTCAAGGCCTGGTCATGGAGGGTCTCGCAGGCTAGCGCACCAGAGTCCGAGTGTTCGGCAGGAGCCGGACCTTAAGGGTCGTGAGGGCAGACCGTAGTTGCCCTAGTTGCTCAGGGCGAAAAGCTCATCCTGTCGGCGGACACGGAGTCGGCCAAGGCAGTCCGAATGTGCTGCGCTCGCATGACCATGCGTTGGGATCGATGTGCCGGCAAGTAGTAGACCATTCAGAAGGCGAGGACGCACTGCTTGTTGATCTCCCCTTTGTTCCGGAACCTTCTGACAGGAACTCTTGGAAAATTTGGGGGTGGAGATAGACAATGCCTACGAGGCAGCTTGAACTGTGTGTCGTGTCGAATGTGCAGCCGAGCGTGTCCAGCATACCTTGTGACCCCGTTCCTGCAAGGTGCAAGCGCTCATCCAGTCCCATTTCCACAAAACCAATGCCTTGCTCTGGAAAACCCTGGGGCGCTCGCAGGAGTTCTTGTCTCGGAACCTCATCAGCGGCCGACGAGCCTTTCAGCATCGTAGGTATGTTAGCATTCCAGCCCGAACGATCCGAACGATGTATAAATTTTGTGCCTGCGCAGCTGCCCGAAAAGTTGGGGTGAAACATGCTACAGCCGGTCTCAGACAGCACCATCGAGGTTTTACAAGAGCTCCATTCTGTACTTGGCCTTCACGCCTCTGGAAGCGATTCCTATGGAGGACTCTCGCCCAACTTGACTGGCAGACAGCGCGTGGCACTTGACCATGACATTCAAGATCCATGTTGCTTTGAGCTTTGAGGAGAGGCCACAGATCGCTTTCGATACAGTGATAGCAGCGCTGGTCGCCGAGGAGGCCGCAACGCCGCAATAGTGCCATTTGATGCACTCTGCTGTTGTTGTTCTTGTTGCTGCTGCTGCTGCTGTTGTTGACGACAATCAGCAAGGAATTCAACTTTGGTGAACTCACGCAGCAAGCGATCATTCAGTCTCTCGATGGTCGGGCACTTATCCAGATGCTCAGGATTCTAAATCCTACTTAGATAGGCTTATCCAGAAGCATGTGCACCTGGCTTGTAGTATTTTCGATCGACTGAGGCTCGCCCTTTGCATGGGTCAGAGACCTCCTGCAGGCAGAAAGCATCTTTGACATGATGTTAAACTTTCAACGGTGTCGTCAAGAGCTCTCGCGCATACTGAACCTATCGCAATCCTTCGCTGTGTATTGGTGGTTTAGCATGATCGGTTGCTGAAAGATGACTCGCAGTTCCTCCGAGGGGTTTCGCTAGCTTCGAGTCCCCAGCAAGAGCCATTCAGATTTATGGTTTCTAACTGATTTCTTTGATCCTCCTTTGAGTATTTTGATCGCAGCATGCTCCTCTACGACTTGGCATGTGGCGTATCAACGGTGGATGGCTCGCAGGACCAGTTACTTTGTATGGACTGATGACGAACCGGTATACCCATTCTTTTCCGCTTTGGCACGGATCGTGTGCGTGCCAGATTGTGTAGGCACGAGGGTCGAAGTAGTAATCCTGGGTCTGGGGTCTCACAAAGCCAGGGCGAGTGACTGCTGACACCCACAATAGCAACAAATCGTGGTGTTATTGCACGGTAATTACTGGATGTGGTAACAGTATTTAGTAGTGGGGGGAATAGAAGTTTCGTAGGAGTAGTGCTCATGGCACGACTAGTATTGATAGTGGCGGGCAGTGATGCCACACGCATCGATCTTTCGCGGCTCTGGTCCTCCCCAACTCGTTCTGGACTGTCGGTCCAGCTTCTCTGCTTGATCGTGAAAGATACGAGCGATGTTACATAGTCCAAAGACATGTTTGCAACGTGTTGCAGCCGGCAGTCCAAGGTCCTGGTTGCAACCAGTATCTTGTAGAGCGCTGATTCGTCGAGAGTTCGTTTCCTCCTGCTACGAGGCGTTCAGTGAGGGCAAGTTTGACTTGTCGCTGTCTCGGAGCTTTGCAAGCAGCTGCTGCATACCGTGTCTGTCTCATTCACAGTCTGAGTCGCAAGAGTTCTTAAGGTTCGATGCGGCCATCGCCAAGAACAGAGCGCAGATGGAGGCCACATGCTGCGCGAATTCTTGCATGAATCTCGAAAGGCTGTGCAATCAATACACTGTACAATACACCTTTCTCCCCATCCTTACAACATTACAACATTTCTTGCGGGCTGTGCTTGGAGGCAAGCCCTGAGCTGAAGTCTGCGGAGGCCACGCTGAGGCGAGGTGGCAGCATCCCCCTGTAACGCAGAGCTCGGCAGACCCGAGTCCGAATTGCTGTCTACAGGGCTTGGACTCGGCTATCGCTCTGCATCGCTCCCTTTTGTCAGAGGCGGAAGATGTGCGCTTTGTCGCTCATGGAACTGGCTTTCAGGCCGGTGTCACAGGCACAGGCCACAGGCTAGCCGCAAGAGCGACCTGAGCACAGGAAGCCGAAGAAGCAGAGGCGCTTAAGCTTCTCCGAAATCGCCCAGCACTGCCGAGTGCTTCGCCCGCAGACATCTCCAGCTCACAGACTCCAGGGTCACTTCAGGTGCGCACAATTGTTTGGGCTTCAGCATGCTTTGGCGCTTGGGCCATTTGTGGCTTGCTTCTGCGGCAGCCGGCAGCAAAGCTAGTCTTGTCGCAGCACGGGGTTGCGACAGAGATCCCAAGCGCTGCATCACGCCCGAACCAGAGAAACCAAAATTGAGAATCAGACTCCTCTAAAGAAGATATCTTGCGACGAGTCAGCGCAGCCTCAGAGCTTCACTGTCGGATAAGACACGATAAGTGAGTCACCCCGAGCAGCAGTTCGTGTGATGCATAGAGCCGTCTTCTCTGCAGAGCTCACTGTATCATTCACTCGAGGTTGGCGCAATGGAGGCGCATTTGCCGTGACTGGTGTGCTGTGTCCACTCGAACGATGCAACATCTCGGCCTTCACATGTCTTGCGTGGATGGTGTGAGGTGCTACCAGCTGTCAGCTCCTTGCAGCCATTTGCCCTTACCGGAATCACAGCCGCATAATCATGCAACCGGTCTGTGCCTGGACACATTTGGTTGACGTTGCAGTCCTCATGATAGCAAAGCTGCCAAAATGGCCAAGCGGCCGGAACATAGCTTGCACCCCAGCAGTTTCCAGCAGTATCGAGGCACTGCTATCAGCAGCTCCATCCGATGAGCCACAGACCAGCTACTGGCGAGAAGCCGAAATACACTAAAACCAGCTTAGACAATGCTTGAAGTTTGCTAATTAGACTTTGTGATGTCCATGGCGCGCAGCGTGCGAAGCCATGATCCGAAGACTTGCCTTCGCCCGGATCCTATGACTTCAATGCTGAATCCTTCCACTTGTGCAGCTGGCGCAGGTGCTGTGTACCTGTGCAGCCGAAGTGCCTTTCAAGGCAGGTAGAAACGGGCAGGAGAGACGGTGTAGCTTGTCAGAAAATTGCAGATGCTGGTGGGCGAGTATGCAAACGCTACAAGCCGCTACTAGTTGACCAGGTGAGCCTCCTTGCAGAGCCGTCTGTACCCAAGCTGGCTCTGACCAAGACAGGTTCACGCCCGTTCTATGTAGAAGATACCAGCATGCGATGTCCTCGGTGGGTGTTGCCCAGGACGTATTTCGGCAACGAAGGCACGCAGTCTGGAAAGCACTGAATTTACGGAAGCTGCCCGCAGAACGGTACCCTTTACAGACAACACGGCCGTATACGGCCGTGCAAAAGGTTACAACATCGAATTCAATCGCGCGTCGGGAGTCACAGGGAGTAGTCTGCTGGCCGCAGGCAAAGAGCCGGATGTGCTTTATCCTTGGCCTGGAACCCAGAGTCACGGTGCCAGGCTGCACCAACCCACCGACCCGACAAATGTCCGCAAGGCCTCTTCGAGATCTCGCAGCTGAGCGGCTGCAGGAGGCCAGGCGCAGAGTTTGCTTGTCACTTCGATGCCTTGAGTCGAGCATTCGGTATCAGGCCGAAGCCAAGAAGCGCCCCACGCTTGCGCTGCGTGATGGCTGGTCCCTCAACACTGCAAAGAGTCCGAAGAGTCCTGCTGTCGCTGTCGCTGTATTGATGCATCTGGGAAGGCCACAGGTCGGAACACAGGTCACAGTTGCTTGGGATGAACTCGCCGCAAGGACTTGGCTTCCTCGTCGAGGCTTCGCCAAGCGCGTTGCCCGCTGGAGTCCGCATCCCAGAAAGGTTTGATCCTACGAAGTCGGCACAGGTGACCAATCTGCCACATTGATGTCGTGACATGCCTCGAAAGACCGCAGGTCCTAAAACGAGGTGGAGATGCTGTAGTAGCTCTAGATGTTTGTTTCCGCAGGCGCACGCCACCATCTGCCCTTGCAGACTTAGGTCGAGGCCGGCGTTTTCGTAGGCCTCTTCAGCTTGTCGTACACGAGCAACGAGGCACGCAGACAAAGGGCGAGGATCCTCGGCCGACAGAAGAAGCGCTTTTTCCTCTTGCAGAGGACAAAGTGGAGGACTGGATGGTGTCAGGTGGCACGCTGCGTCCTGAGAATGCTAGTACGTCAACTTGCCACACAGGACGTCGCAAACTGAGGCCGCCCAAGCACAATCCCATCCGCCTTTGGAGCATGTTCTCCTACCAGTACTCAGAAACACGTCGGTCGCCTCAGAACAGTGAAGTGGTGCTTCCGTTTTCGGCAGCAACTCGGAGGTTGAAGGTGCCATGACAGGCCTAGGCGCCGCAACCGGAAGAGGAATATCAAGATTTGCAGGTGGCCGAGTACAGCCGGATGAGCCATGCCGACTTGGTCTTACTACGTTAGCCAGACTGTCAAGCGCAGCTGATGTGACGTGAATGATCTGCCCTGTGCCTGATAGTTGCATTACTACACATGACGTGAGAATGCAGTGTAGAGTACAGTAGAGGCCAGGCCGTAACCTCTGCGAGAGGTGATTTTTCCGGCATCTTGCCAGGCTGGGGGACTCTTGCTTCGGAGAGGCGTGGAAAGTCTGCAGGGTTTGCAGACATCCTAACAGGTCTCAGTAGTGCTGACACGATCCAACACGGTCCCCAACTCGCTGCAAGAACTGGCGGGCGGAGCTTTGTGCTCGCGTTTGGACGTGTGGTGGCCTTGGATGTGCGATCCTCCCTTTGATTGATCTCTGAACATGGGATGATCCTTTTGAGCCACGTGCGCATGTGGCATCATCCTGTAGGTCCTGTAGGTCCAAGCCAATAGTCTATTGAAGTCTCATCGTCGTCCAGGGGTACTGCAGGCCCTGGAGTTCGCGGCACGGATAGATCCCAAACCCTTGAGAGATGCTCAGATCGCCCATCTTGTCAACACTCTTGATGCCCGCTTAGGTTTTATCGGCCGTGGCAAAGAAGGCATTGGTGGAGGTCACTGGCGGGTAGCTGCCACTTGCTCAGCTTGAGATGGACGACTGCACGACTGCATAAAATCGTGCCTAGACGCCTAGACGAAGGCGAGGCAAGCGCATGGACTGCGTGCAGCTGCTGCTACAATCGGTTTTGTTGTCAATGAACTTGGCTCGAGGCAGGCGTTCGCTTTGCGGCGACCTACCGCATTGAGGCTGCTGGAGTAGGACATGTCTGTGCGTTGCAACACTGTACTGCTACCGCTTTGACAATGACTCTGCCTTCTGTCGCTTGGGCATGGCAAGGCTTACCTGGGCCCACCCTTGTCTTCTTGCAGATCATACCTGTCGGATGAGGCCCGTGAGTTTGCATTCATAATGTCATATTGAAACCTCGAGGGATGCATGCGTCGTTCCACAAACCAGTTCCTGCGCGATGCCTGGCTTTTCTCCTCGATCGGGGATTGTGAGCGCGGTAGGCAAGGCACTTCAAGATCACAACATGCTCGTATCACACTCTGCCATGCGTGCCATGCATTGGACACTCGCTTCAGTGTCTGCTTTTCTGCAGTTGGCTTGTACTGCCTCTTGCCCTCCAGCCGGGCTCGACTCCGTCTTGGAGATCGACTTGGACAGCTTTGCAAAGCGCTGGTACAGTCGGCAGCAGATGGCAACAACGACTACAAGTACAAGAGAAGCCTGCTGGGTTACGAACTTCAAATCCACAGCCACCTCGAGGACGTAGATCTCCCGCACAAGATTCATGATTCGGCAGTGGCTTGCCTGAAGATTGTGGACAAGGCACGTGGAAAATTCCGGATTGCTCCATGAGTAATGCCTCCTGCTGCCGGTGCCGCGTCCTGGATCGTTGCCTATGACGAAGCTGAAGGCTATGCTCTCATATCAGGCGGGCCCCCAACCGTTGCCTCGGAGGCAAGCTGTTCCACCGGATCAGCTGCAGGTCTGTGGATCTTGACCAGCAAGCAGCAGCGAGATGATGCTTTGTTGGAGAGCAATCGCAGCGCAGAAAGGCTTTGATACATCCGTCTTGAACGACGTAAACCCTGATGACTGCAAGAGCAGAACCTACGTTGCGGTGTAGGTCAGACGCCTGTCTTGATGCATGCATCCGGAGGTCAGCCGGGACCATGTGTCTGGACTGGTTTCCCATGATTCTTCGTACAGCCAACGGACTGCACGACACAAGAAAAGCAGAGGATCTTAACATCAAGATCTGAAGCACGCTTGTCCACGCGCAGAAGGCAGAAATGGAACGATCCTGCTGAGGCTTGAAGTCAATGGAAGGTACCAAAGGATATCATATCATTCGGGGCTAGGGCATCCTGAGAAGTGCCAAGTGCGTTTTCAGCGACAGTTACACTAGCAGCAACGCCTCACCAAACGATAATAGTCAATGCCATGTCCTGCCACGGCCACGGATGCATGTGGAGGAGCAGCAGCTTCATCCACCAGTGTCCTGGCATGGGGGCCAAGCCAGGCAGCAAACATTTCTGATTCGCAGACGAGCTCGCATGCGCGTGCCATGCCCATTCTATGCCCATGGAGATTTCGGTGTGGACATCACGAGATTTATCACACATCAAAGCCCACTTGATCCCCTCAGACCTTGGACGCTGCCGCATTCCCGGAATGTCTTGACATGGGGAAAGACTACCGAAGATCTGTAGACTCGAGGGTTGGCTTGTCGAAGGAAGCTGCTTTGATGCAGAAGGGGAGCGTGCAGCTTTGCAAGCCTTCTGATTTTCGACAAGGCAACGCAACAAAACGCACAATCGCAGATGAGAAACTTGATTCGTAAAGGCGACCGGCTTGGGCATTCGGCGGGAACTCTAAGGTGGGCGCCTCCTGTCTCGGAGCACACCGTCGAGTCCATGTCTTCGGTGGCTCGGCCAGCATTGCCATGGGTTGTCGCAACACCACGAGGAGTAGTGTAGACTGCACGTGTGGTAGTCTCGACATACGACATAGCAGCGACGTAGCACAACGGTACAGTCACTGCTGCAGGACCTAAGTAATGCTGAGGCATGAACAGGGCGACAACATGGTAAACAGGGAGCCGAACTTCTGTGCGCGGGCTTTTCAAGGTTGTGCAGCATGCCGCGTGGTCGCACGCACCTCAGCTGTTGACTTCAGCGACGATGGCTTACGGCCCAAGGCCTAAGGCCTCTACACGTTTCTCAACACATGCCAGTCAACTACGCCTGCTGTACGTCAACCGCGAGAACTACTGGTGGGGGCAGCAAGCCCAGGCCGTCTGCCAC